ACCGAAACTAATGTTCCTCTCCCCCATGCTGATCGTGCGTCCCAAGTAACAAGCAGACACCTGATTCAAAATACCTTCCAGAAATAACACCTCCGAAGAAACTCACCTGAGACGATCCGTTTTTCGTACAATCTTGAACGCACTCCTCCATTACACGAGCTGAACGGGTTGATCGATTTGGGCGAATAGCAAAAAGATATTCCCGAATCGAGAAGCGTTGAATCATACTTCTGTCAAGGCATGCTTCAAAACGGATTGAAAATCACTAGGGTTGGCACCATTTACGGTGTTTTCCAGAGTTTTTTAGCATACAGGATTTTCATAATCGAGGAGGGAAGTTTTCTGACTACCCGTCGATTGTAAGTAGTATATATTTGACGGGAACAAACTACGATATATCATTTATTAGGCCGGGCAAAACGTGGTCAAACTGGGGAACAGTGGGGTATTGAACATCTATTCTAGAAGACACAACTCAGGAATCTATTGGAGAGTCAGTAAAACGATGCCGTTCATTATCTGCGTTGACGGTGAAATATGGCTCGGTGGTCTTAGGATTTGTGAGTAGCACCGTCCTCCGAGAAAAAAATCAGTGTATCAGGTCTACACAATGTATCGCAATATCTCGAATATCGTACCAACTGAAACATGAAGCTGTCTTTGTGCGGCACATTCAGTTAAAAGGTATCATAAACGAGAGGTTCAGCTGGGATTCACTTGAGTACCCTGTGAAAACCCAGTTGATATGCAAATGAGTGTATTTGTCGAGATCTGTCCCGTTCGGGTTCAGATAGAACATAAGATTAATGGAAATTAGGTCACTGTGATTACCTAAAAAGAGAGGGATAGTTGTCGTGTGATGTCAAAGTGTTTTTAGCAACCATATAAGTAGTGTGTTACGTCTTTACGGGAAAAAACAATTCTTCTGTAGGATGTGAAATGAAATCCAACTTTCCATGGTCTTCACAGCTGAAAGCCGATCTGATTCTAAAGCAACTTTACCAGAAGGTTTACTGATCTGAATTCGAATTTCGCATGATTATTGGTTAATTTTCGTGGCTTCTCTCTGTTGCTGGAAGCTACAACCCCATCCTGGGCACCATGGGCGAGGGGAACAGATATGAGTGTTGCGTGCACTCGCTGGGTCGGAAACTGGGTAAAACTCTTGAAAAATTTGGTGTCAACCCTACCTTATTGCTACTCATAATGAATGGTACTACAATAACGCAGTAATATCAATCCAACCGAACCATGAGACACCCTCTGAATCGGACATTCATCTAAGAAACATGGTACACGAGAATTTCATTCGTCTTTCGTCAGAACCTAAACCAAACATCAGGTTAGGCAATAACACAGTAATATCAATCCAACCAAACCATGAGACACCATCTGAATCAAACATTCATCTGAGGAACAAGGTACACTAGAACTTCATTCGGTTTCCGTCAGAACCTAAACCAAACATCAGGTTAGCGTACGAAATTCGAATACGATCAATAGTTTTCCGAATCATGCTTTCGATTTCTCCGTTTGATCTATTACACAAATACGTCATCATTTGAAAGCGGAGATTGAACGGAACACACAATTTATTGATGGTTTTTCACCTGCTATCTCGCTGGGCTTATTTTGGATTTATTTTGTTCCTAAAAGTCACATTCATATAGTCCGGATAAAGCTGCTACTGAGAAGCAGATGGAAACAGTGTATCTGGGAGATCACACCTAATTTTACCCTGTCACTATACACGCAAGCTCAGCCACGATGATAAAAGATATCTAAGAGGCGGTTTTTAATCTGACTAACTTCATCAGGCTGGCATCTTCGACGTGTATTTTTGTTTCCGTTAGTTAGACGAGCAATCGTAGCAAGATTCTACGTATGGCTCATTCGTCAAGCCTTTTCTTCAGAACCATACTGACAGTAACTCTTTGTCTGTGCTAATTTAACAATGCAACGTGCATGGAATATTGATTTTTGTCGTTTCTTCCTCTGGAACACACCACTGGGTGAACGATGATGACAGCAGGTTCGTCCAGCTCTGCGTATTTTATCCCCGTGGTTATTGATCCACTCAAAGAACGTGATAATTAGCAAGCCATGTGCTGCGAAATAAGATCATATTCATAAAACAGTGGTCACGTGCGGCCTTTTGACTTTTTTAGTTGGTATTCATTAATCAAACAACAAATGTCGCGTGGGTTAATGGTGATGCTTGATCGGAAAAGGTAGGTTGACAGTCGGAGGACATGGCGGTACATTATTTTATACTTCATGGAGGGTGCTCTGCAAAACGGTCTCTCCGAAGTATGAATAATGGCCTGTTATATCCCACGTTTGTGTAGCTAGTTGTGATATTTCCAGGAGCAGTCCCCCTTTGTCAAGGTTTTCTCTACACCGAATGGAGGGAGTGGTGAACTGGAATTCCGCCCATTGGAAGCACATCATCGGCCGTGTGGGGACTTGGACTACGGAAGTCTAACGTGCGAGATCGGCGTTTTGCCGGGACTCCAGCTAGACATACTGAACAGGCGTGTCCATGCTTGAGCAAAGTGATTCACTGCAATATCCACAAGCCTAATAATTGTCTTGGTCGTGCCGATCGACTGGTTCTAACGCTTCCTAGGACATACTGAACAGGAGTGTCCATGCTTCAGCAAAGTGATTCACTGCAATAGCCACAAGCCTAATAATTGTCTTGGTCGTGCCAATCGACTGGTTCTCACGCTTCCTAGTCAGCCGACGCGAAAAGCCCCTGAAAATTTGTGTACTAATGTCATTGTTTGCGAGCTCCTTTGAATCGTAAAAAAGACAGATTTGAACAATGATCAAAGTGAGCAGCTAGTTTTACCGCCAGTTCATCGACACGCGTGCACTTCCGTACTATCTATCCGAAATATCCATCATCCCAAGTCACTGTTAAGACCCAGGGTGATAAACAACCGCACTGCATTGGATTAAACGTAGTGGAAGGTGAAGGAGACTACTCACAAGGTTGCTGAGACCTATTCGACAGGCCACGACCTTGTGAGTCGCTGCCTTTATGAAAATATACTGCAGTATCTCGAATAGCGTGCCAATTGAACCATGAGGCGGTCTGTGTGCAGCACATTGAGTTGTAGAATATCATAAACGAAAGATTCAGTTGATTCACACGTGAAGTCCAAATTGATTTGCAACTGAGTGTATTTCTCGAGAACAGTCCAATTTGGGTTCAAGTGGGACAAAGGGTTGACGGAAACTCGGGGACTGCGCCCAGTGGAAGGTGACTCTCCACTAAGGATCTCCCCATTATTTGGTCAAGTTGAACTTTCATCAAGAGACGGAACGTTCTGCATAAAAACTTGGGTATCACAGAAATTATTGTTCCAAATATCCAGTGGCTTTCATACTATTTGTATCCAGATGTAAAACTGATACATCTCAAACTGATCTTCTGTAAAACGCAAAACTACTTATAAGGTTGCTGAACATTCTTCGACAGCCCAATAAGGCTGTCATTCATCAGATGAGCTCAGTTCTCGAGCTTCCAACAACGTAGTTCCAGCTGCTGTCTCAAACTAAACTGCTTGAGTTATTTGGCAGCCCAAATGGCATGTGGTATTCGCATTTCTATGCACCTGAGTATGAGATATTTCCCAATCCATGATCGATATCAGCATGGAAAATACCCGTGGTATTTGCTACGGTCCCCCGAATTGTTCATTTGAGAGTAGTTGCTACTCATAAAATAGCTCACCTTCCAGAAATTAAAGTCTTAAGGCTCAATTTCTTATATTTTTGGCTACACAAGCCACGAAGGCGCCTTGGGGGAGGGACTATATCACAACTAGATGTTGTACTGTGCTGCATTTTGCTTGGGGTTTCATCGCATAGCGTCTTTAAATCAATGGAGTGTTTCCACCATGAACTGGTGTGAAAGTCCGGTTAGAAATCAAAGTCGCTGGGTTTGCGGCTAGGACTGACCAGGTTAGTTTGGTCATGACACCTACCGTACATGCCCAGGAACCGTGTCCCACAAGGTGTTGCGTCACATTCCAACACCTCGATGACTCGAAGGAAACTCGCAACGCCAAGTGGAAACAGCGGTCTTCCCGATACAACCAAGAAACCAGACAGGACATTTCACGGGACCCAGCTCATCAGTGGGTATACTGTCATTTTCCAGCTGGACTGTCAGGTCAACCGGTGTGCTCAATTTGCTTTAGATTAGGGTTAGCGCAAGACTTTGGGGTTGTCTCGTTGGTGGCCTCTAAATCCGACGTGATGTACCCACGTGTTTGTTTCACTGCTATCCTGAGTTGTGAGCATATGGCTTCTGCTTGCTAAATCCTCATCATCAACATCATCATCATCATCACCATCATCATCATCATCGGCAGCACAATATCAGTGTTTAACACTGAACCCTCGCTACCTTGATAATGCCGTTCTGCTTCACTAGGTCCTTCTGAACTGAGTCTCTATTCTTCCACATGCCTTCCGCTCTTTGACTAAATTGCGGCAGCTATGAACCTATCGGGGGACTTGTTGCCAACGTCGACTCGTCACCAGCGTCACACATAACACCGCTTGTCAAACGCAGTAGACAGAGAATAACTACCTTATGCTGGACTGCACGCTAAACTCAAAACTTTACAAACAGTTATGTGACCTTCGAACCATGTGACTTTCAATATGATCATATAATCAATATGATCTATATTATACGTGACCTTTTCACGATCTGATCTTTTCAATATGATCTGTAATCATGAACTTCGTGGCCTTTGTGTAAGGGTTAACTCGCTGTTCCAGAAGCAAACCCGTAAACCTTTTGGGGGAGTTGGGAATGGCTATTCCAAAAGTACGAAATTCTGTAGAATAGTAACGGGGATCTATTGTATTGAACTATCCTGAAGAATGATCTTTCTTTACGAATATCTCTCGAGAGGAGTGTTGTTCTACGCGCAGTATAAATTGTTATAAAACTTGTCCTCTACTCCCCCATATCTCAGGTGCGAATCTAAACCATGCTGATGAAGACGGTCGTACGGCCCTTCACGTTGCCTCCTTCTGTGTTCGGCCGTCCGAAACGCACCAGGAAGTCGTTTCGTGTCTGTTGGAATATGGCGCCAATCCAAACGTATTTGACCATGAAGGTCTGACGCCACTTCTAGGGGCTGCGCGTATCGGAAACCATGCGGTTTGTGAACTGTGCCTTGAAGCTGATACTGATGTCAACCAGACGGATAAGTGAGTCACCGTGCGTCATTTTTTGTTTAAATTGTTCGACTTGTCAACCGATGTCCTATAAGTAGTCTTGAGTTTTCGGATAAGCGATTCTCAACTGAACACAAAAGCTTTTCATGGAATTTAAGCGCGAAATATGGACTAATTGCCATGAAATTATGTCGACATGGAGTGGTGGTGTTGGGTTTTTTGAGACTTGAATGGAAGGAGCCTGTGTGCAAACAAGTTCGCAATATGAAAATACTACTTGCACCAGTTTAAGTAACGTTCAGTAGGGGTTATCGTTCGACTCTAGGCTGTCCGTATCTTGAATCACGTGGAACAGTTTTAATCTGGTTAAATGAACCCCTCACTACCAGAACGTCACCCGTCCCGAAAGAAAAGCCCCGGTGTTGCTTTAGCAACTTGCACGAACCATCTCGCCGCGTGCTGGTGTTGTTGTGCGCAATAACTGACTCCAGTTAATGGCATAAACAAAAAGACCGTTTCCGACCGGTTTCTGCTCAGAATCAGTTCGTTCTACACGGACGACCACAAACTCGCGCCGCCGGTTAGTTTGATTTATTACGGTATTTTATGGTGGACTTTCTCCCCATAGACCGGTTTCTTGTTCCCATTGCAGCCGTTCTTCTGACAAAACCTCCGAATAATGCCCGTTGTGTTTTTTCCGAAGCATCATTTTTCATTCCAAGGAGTTAGCTTACTTAAAAACTACCGTCTGCGCATATACTGCCTCGATTTTTTGTAGCCTGCGGTAATTTTCAGTGCAGACTACCATCCGTAGCGAATCAGAGCTGTAGTGAAAAGCCGAGGAGCACTGTACATACGCTTCATTCTCATCCAGAGCCATCAGCAATCGGTATCTCACGAAACTTTGGTGGGGTTCAGAACGCGTGACCTACCGGTTAGTAGTAGTAGTTAGTAGTTAAAATTTCGGCCACGAGTGGCTGATCATCAGTGTGACCTCTCATTAAGAGTATGGCGCCAGTCATCGCTTAATCACAGGAAATACATCACGTGATCACGCGTTCACTGTCTGCTTGAGTGAGGACCTTTCAGATGGAAATTTCACTTACCGGGTGAATTTTAATCATCCTCTGAGCTTATAATTGGCTCACAAACTTTTGCTGAAAACGATTGAACACAACTCATAACCATCATAGGATTAAGGACTATAAAGCTTTTACCACGCTGTGTTGTATGTGGATTGTGATTGGCACGAAAACCTGCAATAACAATGAAACAGCAATTTTCAGTACCTGGCGTCTCCTTTTAAAGGACCACCCTAGGCGAAAATTGTGCAGTTTGATTGTGTCCCGAATGCGCTTTTTGTGATAATCGTCGGTCTTCTGTTGACCATTTCTCGCTCCATCACACCAGATTCTCTTTCCGTCGTTCCAAAGGTGTGCGTCGGAATCCCCGGTGCCCAAGGGGTACTAGTGAACATTTACTAAGATACTCTGACACCTTCAACCAACAGCATTAAATGGCACGAACTTACACAAAAAGGAGTGCGTGCCTCAAAAAAAAAGAATTCTCCAATCAGAGAACGTCAAACGGAGGAATGACCTTGAACGAGATCCTGAGAGCTACACAGGGCCAAGAAAGTTTAAGAAGTATAGTGATGGAGATGTCAGTACCTTGCAAACAAATGATCTGGGGGGCGAATGTGAACTGTCGCCTCTGCCTTTCTGAACAGCCTGTTGACAACAAAGCTTATGGTCTATGTAGAAGATCTACACAATCCATGAGTAGTATAGGGTAGGGTAAAACGTCACTACCATCACACGGTGTCGTCAGATTTCCTAAACAGGAGTGGTAAAAGGCAGCGAAATGCTCTGGCGAAATAACCGCTTCGCATTGAGAAAAAATGATGCAGAATTGTGAAGACAAATTTGAGAACCTGAGGACCGCTCACACATTCGCGTTACTATACTCTCTTCCGTTGGAGGTGAATTGAAATACCCAGGTGGATTTACTCCATTCTATTGATTGTTTTTCTTTGTAATTGCAGGTATGATAACACAGCCCTCAGTCTGGCTGTCCTTGGTGGTCACACAAGTGTCGTCCGATTATTGCTGTTTTGGGGTGCAGCAGTCGATGCGATGGACAACGCCGGCAGGTCACTTTTGAGCATTGCAGCCTCCACAGGGAACGCATCGATTGTGCAAGAACTGCTTGCTCGTGGCCTAGACGAGGCACATCGAGATCACACAGGATGCACCCCGTTACATTTGGCGGCTGCAGGAACAGTCGCAGCCCCGTCCTCGAATGGGGAAGAGAGCAATGCGGTGCGAGACTACTGCGAAGTCATCAGGTCCGTCATTTTTGACACTTTAATTGAATTTAAAAGATGTAGTTCTCCCGCAAATCAATTTGGTTTTTCCCGAAAGACTCAACTGAATCTCTGGTTTATGATATTCTACAACTGAATGTGCTGCACACAGGCCGTCTCATAATTCAGTGGGCACGATATTCGAGATATCGCAGTATGTTTTCATAAAGGAAACTACTCACAAGTTTGCTGAAAACTCTTCTCGAAAACAGTCCAATTTGGGTTCAAGTAGAACATAAGGCTGACGAAAACTCGGAGACTGCGCCTACCTGATGAGCCCCAGGAGGGGTGAAACCGGTTGTGGGCTGTCGAAGACGAATAGTTTCAGCAACCTTGTGAATAGTTCCCTTTATGTAGTTCTCCTGTTTTAGAGACCACCTGAGGAGATTAATTGAGTGGACACTGTACTAACGGGCAATCTGTTAACAAGAGTCAACCGTATTGTTGAACTTCCCTTAGATCATTCTTCCAATTGAAAAACCGCTCCTGATTTGTATTCTGGCTCATTTCAGTCGTTCTTCTTACAACTTCGAGGGGGATGGCAAAACGGCAACACTTACAAAAACGATGTTGGTCAAAAGGAGGATATCTCTTAGGGTACTCGTATGGCACAAGATTTTTCATCAAAGTCCAAAGGAACCTGATAACATCTTCTCCTTTCAATCAAAATTTTGTTATTCGCCTCATATTAACCAGTGTTTTCATAACCGAATTGCTTCTCTGGCTAAACAGCAAAAAATATTGATTTTTTTGAAGTTCCCAGTCAGTGGCACCTGCTTTTGCCTTGTGTTTGGTAGCGTGTTCGCCATGGCCATCATTGGATAAAGGCGAACGCCTTCGACCAGCAGTTCTGTTTGAAGAAGCGCTGTTGAGGGTCTCGAATCAGTTTAACTCCATCGTCGCCACAAACTACCAAAATCCTCGATTCAGGATGTGACAAAAATTGCGCCTTATCCTTGGTAGTGCTGGATAAATGTTTATTGGGATCATGGGTATGTTAAGGGGTCTGCATCTCATGTGTGCTTCCATCACTGATGAGAAGGAAGAAGGCCTTCGCTGCGGAGTTATTAGAAAACGCCAACTGAGTAGTTACAGAGTCGGACAGGGAAGCGAAACCCTCATATGCATATTGTTTACAAAAACTGAATATCCATCTTCTCCCTGAACGCGTCTTCCTGAACTCTCCGGGATATTCAATGATTGTTGCTCAACTGCAAGCAAATGCGACTCTACAAATTCCGTAATAGATCTCAATTTTCAAGAGACGAGAAGCGGATTTACGAGAAAACATACTACTCGCATGCCTCGTCAGTAGTATCCACATTTACATTGGTAGGTTTTCCTATGGGTGCCATGATCCATAAAGTTACACCTGATTCCTCCTAACCTGCGGAGGAATTACTCTGCTTCAGAGAAAGATTTGTCAATTTGTTTAAAGAGTTAGTTTCCAACTCTGATAATGTAGAACTGGAATGGTATATAGTGTTGGTGAAACGTGCGACTGGTCTCCGGTTCAATACTTTGAAGTGTCATCCTCACCTCTCATGGAAGATTGACCGGGGACTTTATGAACCGTTTTACAGCGTTTGCTCACTTTTGCTCAGTATTCAAACAACATTTAGGTGTGCTCAAGAAGATCTATGACTGCTGATATTGACTTTTTTCAGAATCTGTGTAAAAGACGGTTCACGTTCGTGTCTGGTAGCTTGTAACCGGCAGTATTTAACTCCGTACTCGAGAACCCTTTCTGCCAGTGCGAAATGTGTGCGCTCTCGGTCGCCACAGTATTCAAACAACGTTTAGGTGTGCTCAAAATGATCTATGACTGCTGATATTGACTTTTGACAAAATCTGTGCAAAAGATGGTTTACGTTCATAACTGCTAGGTTGTTACGGGAAGTAGTCAACTCCGTACTCGAGATTCCTTTTCGCTAGTGCGAAATGTGTGCGCTCTCGGTCGCCACTTTGAAGGTTTGCTGTCTCAAAGTGTACCAAATTATACCCTGGAAACGCGATCACATTTGACCCTAGCAACGTATCCCAATGTTACTTTCGCCCTCTTATCTCGACTACAGAGACTTACCGTAGCTTGTCTGTTGTTCCTTGTCCAGGACTAGGCTATGTGTGCTCTGGGGAATGATTGTTGTAATAGTTGATGTGTGACTTAAACCAGCGTGTTATCAGAACACCATTCCAACAGAAATGCAACCAGTCAGTGAACGCGACGTCTATCTCCGAGCTGGTTCTACGGCACGCGGAGGATCGCCCGGCTGGACGTAGAGCATATGACTTAGCGTTCGGTTTGCCTGTCTTTTTCGCCTACCTTGTAAACCTAACTTACCAAGGTGTATTACCACAAATGGAGATGATTCAAGTGGTTAGAGAGCGAATTTACTGGCCGAAAGGTCCATGGTTCGAACCCGACCTCTGCCTCTCGACTTTCCCTATCTAGGCTTGGGCAACCTAACAGTATCCCAGCCCTCGTACAACCTACAGGTGATATTGCAGTTGGGTACCGAAGTGTGCTACTGCTGAACGCACTGGCTGTCTCTGCTTATTAGAGGTCACTCGCGCACTTCAAAGGCTTTGTCACTCCGTGAAGCCAAAATAAAATTGCCAATTTGTCGCAGGAATCATGAGGTGTGGTTGGGACCACTAAACCATGGTTTACAGCTAATGGTGCTGACGACGCCTGAAGAACTTTCGCGGCCACACAGTTTATTTCGGAGGAAATGTACCAGTTGCTGTCACTTGACCCCGGAAGAAACATCAGTGCTCAACTCTCTCTACCACCTCAACTAAAATGTTCGAACCGGGAGATGAAGTTAAATGGAATGTACTTGTATCTCTCATCAATTCATGAACAACGGGACATCAACTACAGAGTAATAAAATGGGACTTAATACGAACACGACGGGTAGACCCACCGAAAGGCATAACCAGAGGTAGAATCATAAGGGAACAGGAGCTGGCGCGGATAATGTCGACCGACTGAACCTCAGGTGCACGTAATGCAATTGGTCCAGTCGTACACGCAACCCGTTTCGAGCCATTTAAGGGTTTGCGTCAATAACTAAACCTTTTTCAGCAAACTGTTTGCTGATTGCAAAAGTTTGATCCACAATCAAGGTGATATCGTCGGAACGGGGTTGAATGGACAAACCCCCCTTTTTTCCTGTGCTTATATTGTTTCAAAACAGTATCTAATAACTCTAAAGTGATTGGTTGGTTCAGAGGTGGCTTTCGCATAGCTCGGTTGGCTATCTGGGCGTCTCTGATCTCATTTCACTGTATCTGATTGGTTCGCTGGCGCCTTTAATTGGAAACTTCTGTACCCGCGCTATTACTAAGCCGTCTGTTCTTATTTGTGGTCTGGTCCATTCGATTTCATTAATTCATTGAATAACCCTCTATTTTTAGTAGCTTTATGTTTATTGTTGCATGTGCGACTCACCTTTCCCGACAATTAACCTGATATCGGTAAGACATATGACTCGGTAGGTGTTGGGCCACGAGATCAAAACTCAAAATCGTGTTGACATATATCAAGCAATCCCACACATAATTAATGGGACCAACATTCAACTCCACAATCATGCGCGAGAGTTATTGTGGGAGTCGTTGTCGGAGGTTGGTAGTTCCAAATTGCCTCTGCTGCTGTATTTTTTGATACTTTCCATGTCATGCACAGTATGATTGTGCTATTGGAGAGCAGGCAAGGGAACAGACATTCGTGCACTGAGATCGGACTGACATCTCGTCCTTGAAGGGCATCAGCTGACTAGCTGTAAGCCACACTTTTGAGCATCATCAGACCAGATTTTCCCCGCCATGGCAGTAAGATATGGAAAACGTGAAATCAAGTGGAACGTAAGGTTGACGGAAACTCGGGGACTGTGCCTACCTGATGCTCCCCGAGAAGGGCAAAACCGGTCAGAGGCTGTTGAATGGTTTTCAGCAACTTTATGAGTAGTGTGTTGTACTTATACAAGGTTAGCATTTGGTTTCGTTCAAGTTTGCTTGCGCCCAACTTTTGCACCGTCAGATGCTCGTAGCACTTGTTTTCACTACTTGCCAAAGCAATCTGAATAAGTGCGTCCAAAAAGCCTTCGGATGAGAACTGAACTCTTCGTGGTGTGACCAACTGATCAGCTGCCTTCCACACAGGTAATTTAGTAGTAAATTATAAGGTCTTTACCGTACAATCTTCTAGGAAATTGAAGCTTCTTCCGTGAAGACAACCCCATCTGAGCTTAACTATCAGAGGGGGCACGCTTAAAAACTCACAAACGATTAGAAAGGTGTGCTTGCATACAAGCGCTGGCTATGGAAGTTGCCACGAGAAGAGGGCGATGACAAAAACGGTACATCATATATTATCATTGATTCATGCTACTTCGAACCTAACCAGTTGATATGCCCCTGTATCCCATGGTCCGCTATTGCGGGTGGGTGACTGCACCATCGGCAAGGCAAAGGTAAACAACCTAAACCGATCAGACGGATCAGCTGATTTAGGTACAGCACAAACAAGGTCAGGAAACCGTTTATTTCGCGATCACACCAAATCCCGGAAATTAAAGAAAAATTTGATACAACTCATGAAACCTCTCGATATTTGATTGATAGACAAAAAAATCATATTTTGACTTGCCTGCCAGGCTCTTGGTGGAGAGTGGAGCTCAGCTGACTGACGTCGACAATTCGGGGAGAACGCCACTGCTAGTTGCTTGTGAAACAGGACATGTCGAGGCTGTCAAAGTCCTACTTACCCTCAGTTCGGCTGTCAGCGATTCAGAATCTCACAGTTTGGGTCAGTCCAACACAGCCAGTGTCCCCTCCATCCCTTCCGAACAGTTCGTACCGCACGCTCGAGGATCTATCGGTGCGGATCCCACGAGCACGTTAGTCGGTCGACCCTCATTAGATGGTCATACGCCTCTACGAGTGGCAGCAATGACAGGCAATGCTGATTTGGTCGGTGTACTGCTAGCGGCCGGAGCTGACCCAGATTACCAAGTAAGTCGGTGCGCTGTACCTCCGCACTTCGTATAGGCTATTCCTATGCCACCTAACTGTCCATCTGTTCCTTTCTTCCAGGATGCATACGGTCGAACAACACTCTATCTATTGGCTCTTGAAGGCATGGTGGAAATGGCCGATCTCCTACTGCATACACCTGCGCCAGGTGCACACGCTCGACCAGGGGTGATGGCGGTTGTAGGGGCCAATCCCGTGTTAGCTGATGATGAGGGTCGATGTCCTCTCCATGTTGCAACTTGGCAAGGTCATCTTGAGATGGTCAGGTTGCTCTTACAGGTGAATCGCCTTTAATTTATGGCAAACTGTTCGAACCCTTCTGTTTGCTAAGTGAGCGGTCTGAAAACAGGAGCAATCATTGCGACAAAATTTATCGTAACTGAATATCCCTTTCGTTACCCAGTTGGAAGTTGTTACAGCGTCTTGAACCAATGATGCCAAAAAATACCATCAAAGAAACATGTCCTAGTTCATACAACATTTGTTCACAGTAAAGCAACTCAGATCGTATTTCGCGTCTTGAAGATCATTTAGGAAAGTTCACTCGGAGTTATCCGCTGGAACCTGAACAGTTAGTTGATGCCGAGTATAACTGAGAAAAAAATTATCACTCTACTCCAACTCAGTCAACAATACCCAAGTAGCCTACGATCGATACACCAAGAACAGCCCCTTTGGTGGTGTGATCTGATTGCTATTTGGCTGGAGTTGGTTCACATGTCTGTGGGCTGTGGTATTTTGTCACTGCAAATGTCGGTATAGGCAATGCCAAAAAACAATTGTGTCCTGAAACTAAGATATCACCAAAGAATTAACAACTCGACCCAACTAGATTTCTCGGTGGCTCCTTTGTTTAGGATAAACCACCGACCTTATGGGTGAAGGGATCGGCGACACACCGTTTGGATTGGTGGTAAAGCGCTGGGACCCTGAGCAGTCTAAATGTTGCTTTATTTCTTCAACTCTTCGGTTTTAGGGACAGCTTTTCCGGTGTTCAAGGTATTGCAATATCGTTGGCAAGACGTTTGTACTATTGGGGCTTTGTATGGATTAACAATGACCTAGAAGCTTTCAACCCAGCATTGATCGCCTTGGTGCCGGTCTGAAAATTCATGCCCTAGGGTCAAGGGACACAAATGTTGATGCAGGCGGATGAACTACGGCCACTCATGTTGCCCACCCATTTTTCACTCGTCACTAAGATGACTAAATCACAGGACCGATGTAGGCTAATTCCGCACCTAGGGAGGTCCTAATAACAACTGTTTGGACATTCCGCCCCCCCTAAACATTCAATTAACTACCTCATAAATCAGTGGAGTGACAAAGTGACTGGTGATAGTACATTTCCCGTTCCACAAAAGCAATGGTTTAAACTTCGGAGTAGCTGAGGTTTGTGTGCTTGCTGGTTGCTTGTGTGTGTACAATAAGCCATATTGAAATCAGGTGTGCGAGTTAGGAACGAAGTAACAAGATTTATTTTTGAAGTACGAATCAACGTGGTTCTCCATCTGAATAAAGCCTGTTTCAGTGGTTTTAGAGCCTTATTCGGCCTTGATGTCTCGATGTACACAATGACATTTCGTCGACAAGGACTGTCTTTCTTTGTAGTACATTTAACCGTCTATAAGGTGGATCCAAACGCTTATTGCTCAAATAAGACAGTGCGGTCCGTCTGTAAGGTACCTCTGTTAGCTTGGTGCTTAATTCGAGCCAGTCAACACGTGGGACCACGTGATGTGAATCCCATGCTTGAACGATTAGTGCAAGTTTACCACGCTACTGATCAACCGCTCATGGTTAGACGCTTAAGTGTTCAAACTACTAGCCAGCGGAATGAGAGCTCGAGAGTGCCCCGGAGCGAGGTTCATCAGATTCGCACTGCCGATGTTTCCTAGTAAGGATGAAACAGATGTAGAGTACTTCTTCGCTTTTCAGCACAGCTTGGCTTTACTTGCCGGACAAAATCTTCAGTAAAGTTTTACTTACATCTTTCTCCCATTTTCCGCTCTTTCCACACATTGCAGTCTCGTTTAGAGAAACTGTCATGGTTAAATATCGCTCAGTAATGGTTTTCTACCAATAGTGAGAATACTAATGGGTCCGGCATGTGGTGCAACAATAGGCAGTAGAAACATATTGATCGGCTGTGACGTTTCAGAGGCAACAGGTCAAAGGCAAATTTGCACGGGTAGGACGAGACAAGAATTTGGAGGTTGGGGATTTTATTATGAAACCTTGCCAAACTTGTTCGAGTACACAGTCTTCATTTTACTTATACGCTAAGAGGAACACCCTGAGAGTCCGTCGCAAACTGTTCAAAGGTAACTCGACGTAGGGCCTATACTTTCCCCGTTTGGTATGGCCGGATGGATGAAGCGATCGTGGTCATCGGTGAACTTCGTCACATGTGTGGAAGAAGAGGTCTTCGTTTACTAAAGTGGAATTGCACGTTAGGTTGGTTTCCTTCGCAACATAGCTTTCTTTCACCCGGCGATCAGGCTCAGTCAGGTTTAAGAAACTTCATTCCATGACAAGAGTTTCTGCCCAGCCGACCACTTCATGGTTGTGAGCATTTTTTTAAAGTTTGTGAATTCGTTGTGCTGAATGTGTATAGTAAGTGAATCGTACATATACTTCGACACCGAAACATGCTTTTCTTTTGACCGAACGCATTTCACCTCAAAAATGTGCAGCATGAAACATATGTAGGTAGATAGATAGATAGATAGAAGATAGATAGATAGATAGATAGATAGATAGATAGATAGATAGATAGATAGATAGATAGATAGATAGATAGATAGATAGATTAGAAGATAGATAGATAGATAGATAGATAGATAGATAGATAGATAGATAGATAGATAGATAGATAGATAGATAGATAGATAGATAGATAGATAGATAGATAGATAGATAGATAGATAGATAGATAGATAGATAGATAGATAGATAGATAGATAGATAGATAGATAGATAGATAGATAGATAGATAGATAGATAGATAGATAGATAGATAGATAGATAGATAGATAGATAGATAGATAGATAGATAGATAGATAGATAGATAGATAGATAGATAGATAGATAGATAGATAGATAGATAGATAGATAGATAGATAGATAGATAGATAGATAGATAGATAGATAGATAGATAGATAGATAGATAGATAGATAGATAGATAGATAGATAGATAGATAGATAGATAGATAGATAGATAGATAGATAGATAGATAGATAGATAGATAGATAGATAGATAGATAGATAGATAGATAGATAGATAGATAGATAGATAGATAGATAGATAGATAGATAGATAGATAGATAGATAGATAGATAGATAGATAGATAGATAGATAGATAGATAGATAGATAGATAGATAGATAGATAGATAGATAGATAGATAGATAGATAGATAGATAGATAGATAGATAGATAGATAGATAGATAGATAGATAGATAGATAGATAGATAGATAGATAGATAGATAGATAGATAGATAGATAGATAGATAGATAGATAGATAGATAGATAGATAGATAGATAGATAGATAGATAGATAGATAGATAGATAGATAGATAGATAGATAGATAGATAGATAGATAGATAGATAGATAGATAGATAGATAGATAGATAGATAGATAGATAGATAGATAGATAGATAGATAGATAGATAGATAGATAGATAGATAGATAGATAGATAGATAGATAGATAGATAGATAGATAGATAGATAGATAGATAGATAGATAGATAGATAGATAGATAGATAGATAGATAGATAGATAGATAGATAGATAGATAGATAGATAGATAGATAGATAGATAGATAGATAGATAGATAGATAGATAGATAGATAGATAGATAGATAGATAGATAGATAGATAGATAGATAGATAGATAGATAGATAGATAGATAGATAGATAGATAGATAGATAGATAGATAGATAGATAGATAGATAGATAGATAGATAGATAGATAGATAGATAGATGGAAGTTTCGATGGGTGGACGGGTAACTGATTTTATCTGCAGCATATAATGCTGATGCGTTACGTATTATCTGAAACATTGTGTACTGTACAAGGATACTGAAGCGCACAAGGGGTAGTGTAGGTTTTCCCTGGGGAAAATGGAAGCTTTTATGTCATATTATTATCAACATATTACGTAACCTGAGACGTTTCGCACTGGTTTTTTAAGCAGGTCAGTGTGCAAGGCAACCGTTTTGGTACGGCAGGTCTAAAGCAAATAATCTAACGCCCATTGTCTTTTCTGTTCTGCATTTGCCAGACGTAGGTGGTGCACTGTCCTTACTACCGTACAATTCGTTTCAGGTTACTCCTTTTCACGTGTAACTCAATCTCTACGATCACAATCCACTTCTATTCTCAGGATAGTATTTCAGTAATTTTGGTACGTGAGGCCTTGGTGCATTCCGTTCCTAAACAACCTTTCGGACAAAGTTTATTGCTTGAAACAAAGGGCTCGTTTTTCAGTTGGTCGTCCTATGTAAAAAAAGGCGCCTAGCATGATTGGTTGCGTGTTTCTTGCACAACTTGTAAACGTTTCAGTGTTCAGGGAATGTGAAAAAAAATCGTATACAACAGCACGCGAATAGAAGTTTTCATGTGATCAAAGATGCATAAAAGGCGGTTACAAAAAAAACAATATGAAGCAATAATAATTCAGCACTGATCCCTCATACCTTACCGTAACCTTATCGTTTGAATTGATCACCAGATGGCTTCCTAAAAGCAGTGCACCAAGGAGATAATGCTCCGAAAAGAGGAAGAAAGTTCCCAAGTTGACGCATCCTTTATTTCGGTACAGTGACCGGCTAAGTTGATCGAATAGCTTCGGAGGCTGACTTCGGACATGCGTTGCGACAAGGATGGTCTTCTGGGCAGATTAGCTAGAACTCACCGATCTTCTCCACGGAGTGCTCTGACCCTTTTCGCTTTCTCCTGAACCTAGCACGATGTTCCTTTGTCTGAGAGATCTTGATTGTCCCCCTTAGCCAGGGTGGTCAGAATATAACTAACCGTATTTTGTCCAAAAGCTGGGAACTAGACTTTCAAAAATACTCGAACAAGGAGATTAATATGGTAGTTCTTTATATCGGTGTATTGGATAGGATAGCGTAGCTATTTTTATTGAAGATTGCGTTAGACCTGAGTTACGATAGCAGTGGCACTTTACGAACAAAAAGTCTGAAGATGACACTATTCTCTATTGACCAGTTGTATGAATCATTGTCGTCTTTC